GAAAATTCTGACTTTTATGAAAAGTTACAGACCCTCTTTGCTTTGTAGACCAAAGGCTGAAGGTAAAGTCTAGAAGTAATGTGGCCAGTTTAAAGTTAAACCTCATTCATCTGTTGCATGTCATTGCATACAATACTTTTAGAATTGCTTTGGCATGTCTGTGGAGTTGCACCAGTGAAAATTTTTTCATGGAGACTTGCTTAGGAAATGTTTGTATCTCAGTTTTTACTGAGTAGCACAGACATGAAACATAGCATCTATAAAATAAAGTACACAATCTTTCAGACACCAATATCCAGTTCAGATAGAATATTCAGTGAAGGTAAAACTCAGCATGAAACAACAACATGAGCTGAGTATATTCCTTTGGACAAGAGAATACAGCCTAAAGTTGGTGAATGGTGAAATCTAATTTGTTCGGCTACATATGAGCATGAGAGACTTTCAGCCAGATTATTAGTGGTGCAAGTCCTTCTAAAATATAAGCAGATGGTTATTTTTTCAGTGTTTGTGGGGTTTTACATTGCAACCTGATGTCATGATCTGTGTTTTTATTTCTGTATTATCACAGAATGGTTGAGGTTGGAAGGGACCTCTGGATAACATCTGATCCAATCCCCCCTACTCAAGCAGGGCCACCTAGAACTGGTTGCCCAAGACTGTGTCCAGATGGCTTTTGAATATCTCCGAGACGGGAGACTCTTCAACCTCTTTGGGCAACCTGTGCCAGTGCTCGGTCACCCTCTCAGTAAAAAAATATTTCCTTATGTTCAGAGAGTGCTTCCATTTGTGCCCATAGCCTCTTGTCCTGTCACTGGGTACTACTGAAAAGAGCCTGGCTCCATCTTCTTTGCACCCTCCCTTAAAGTATTGATATATATATATTAAGAAGTTCCCCCCCTGAGCCTTCTCTTCTCTAGGCTAAACAGCCCCAGCTCTCTCAGCCTTTCCTCATATGTCAGATGCTCCAGTCCCTTAATCTTTGTGGCACTTTGGTGGTCTCTCTCCAGCATGGCCATGTCTCTCTTGTACTGGGGGACTCTGAACTGGACTCAGGAATCCAGGTATGGCCTCACCTGTGCTGAGCTGGGGAAGGATCACCTCCTTTTACCTGCTGGCAATGCTGATTCTCATGCATCCCAGGAGTTATATGCATCTTTGTGTTGGACTGCCATATAAAAAGGTAGATAGATTTGTCCTGTGAAAATAGTTACAATACAGACTCATAGCTAATGTCCATTTAATTGTGCAGCTGCACATTTTGTATCTCAGGAACTAAGGTACATGCTTATTGACTCAGTAGGAGATTATTTTAGCAGAACAGGGTAGTAACATGGTGCGTCCAACTCATCTTCATATCTGTAGGCTAAGGACATTCTGGTCTTACAGTAGACATGAAAGGCGTTCTCCTCCATTCAGTGGGCACCATTCCAGAGGCAGTGCATAACAGTCTAGCTTCAAGGCCTGGAGAAGGAGTAGTCAAACAAGATAGACACCTGCAGATTCCCTGTAATATTTCCCTCTTCCCTTCTCCCTAAAAAATCCAAGAAGCAACAACCAACAAAAATAGGAAATTATGGGGACATAACAACATCTGAGACTTCTTGAACAAATAGGGAAATTAAATCTCTTAGGTGCACTGTAAGACTTTTCATCTCATCTTCTTCTCTACTCAAGTGAGGGGTTTGTAATAACATTGGTATTGGAGCCCCCAGAGCATGAATTTTGTAGCAAGTAAAGTCAGGGAAGGTTGAGAGGATCAAGGAACCACACAAAAGGCACCTGTATCCCCATGGATAGTTCTTTCCTCCATTGGAATATCCCACTTTCCTGAGATACATGTAGACACAGATTTTAGGAGTTCTTTGAAGTCAGAGGACAGACTTACATCTTCTGCCACAGGAGACAAACCCAGCTCCATGCCTTTCTTGAGGGAAAAATAATGAATTCTACAAACCCAGACTCTCAGAGTTTAACCAGTCTTACAGAGATTATCATCACAGAGAGGAGAACATATCCCCAAGTAAGGACTTCTGGATTGAGTTTGCATAAATATACCTCAGGGAGTGAGTGGGTGAGTGAGTCAGGTGAAAGATACCAAGAACAAAGGTGAAATTTTACATTTCTGTGGCTGCTGTGTATGCTCCCAGTTCAGTGGTACTGAGAGAGCTGATGTCCACCTCTAAGAATAGAATTTAAAAACCAATCAATCTGAGGTGAAAGTTTTTATATGTACTGGAGTTGCAGTGCTGGCAAGCCATTACTAAAGAGTAACTAGTGCCGAAATGTGAGACGAGATCTTCATACGGCTGCTGATTAAGTGGATCTATTTCCCCAATCATGCATGCAATATTGCAATTGAACCTCCAGCCAAAATTCATAAGGCAAATTTCATTATATTAGTGATGCCTAACCTGGATTTGGCATTCTGTTGTAGTCATGATGGTGGGATGGATAGGAGGCTGAAAGATGAATTAATAACACTTCATTATGATGAAATATCAAAGTAAGTTGGAAGGTCACCTTGTATTGTATAATTATATATTCAAAAGAATTTAAATTCTTGCTTCAGCCCTTAGTGAATCTGAGACAGCAGCAACGATGGGAAAAACCTCCCTTAAAAATCCCAAGAATCATACTTGTTTTGGCATGACACTGCCTAAGGTGATTTGTGAACAAAGCCGACTTTGCCAAGCTTTCACATTAACACAAGGTTCAGCATACATTTAAAAACATTAAATCCAATTTCCATTTGCATGGATAGGATTATTTGATTGTGTAGATTTTGTTAATTTAAAGAGCCCCAATATTCTAATGCTGTAGCCAAAATTAAATACTCAAAGTCACCATATGTGAATTATTTTAAGCAGTCATTCAGTAAAATGTCTAAGGTTGTCATGTTGTCTGACTTTGGAAGATAGGAAGTATGTCTGCTGCCACAAACAATACTGGGATTGTGGCCTACTGACCATTTTGAAAATCAGGCTCGGAACTTACAGCAGAAGTAGATGCTTCTGTCTGAGTGAAGTTTTAAGCTTTGTTTTTTTGTAGAAGCCAGTATTGCTGGACACCTTAAAGCTTAAAAAAATACAGAAACCTCTAAGTATAAGTTGAAACGGTCTTGCTGAAGAGGCTGAAACTAGTAAATATCATATATATCTGGGAAGCAACACATACCATTATTTATGATTTATTCAGAATCAAAATAAATAAAGCCCTTTTTGGACAAGTAACAAGCTACCTCATTTTACCCCATCAGTTTCAATCTGATGTTGTTTGGTTTCAAATTGGACTTGAAATTGTTCTCTCAATGTCCCTGCATAAAGCAGTTTGCAGTGTAAGTTGGTACAACATGACGTGAATGGCAGCAGACGTGAAGGAGACAAAATGCATGTTTAGTCCAGCAAAGGTGGTCGGCATGTCTTTTAGTTACTGCTCTGCTCATTTTCTTGGTGGCACAGATTTCTACAGAGGTTATTATGTCTAACTGAGCAATGTCACAGTGCTTTGGGTGTACTTACTGTATTTGGTGTGGACCTGCAAGATAGTCAGGGACATGGAGCTCTATTGTCTCTTTGAGAGTGTCAAGATGTAAAGCGTCATTTTTCAGAATTAACTCATGGTTAGCAAAAGAAGATGCAGATACTACACCTGCTTCTGTGTACGGGCAATGGGAGAGAAAGGACTATATCTGAGTACTCCTTGTTCTCCCAGTGTAGATGGGAGAAGTCTTCTCCTATGAAGAGCAATAGTGGGGTGATGTCTTTGGCTATTACTGCTGTCCTGTATCAGACAGGAGTATGCAGAGAGAGAGACAGGAGAACTGACGTTTCTCCATAACCAAGGCTGCCAGTGAGAACGTGGGAATATGCATTGTTTGTCAAGTCACCAGATCTGAGTTGAACAGTTTTGGAAACTGTAACTGTATGCCTACAGTTTACACTGTACTCCAAGAGCTGTGCTCCAGAAGAGAGGGGCAGCATGGCTATCAGTTGACTCAGTTTGCAGTGTGTCTGACTTGCATTTCTTGGAGTATCATTTGTTGAACCAAAATGGTACACAGCATCTGGGGCCTGATCTTCACAGATGCCCTTATTCTTGGCTGGATCCGTAATCATCCGTCAGTAATCTGTTGGAATGTCTTGGGAATTTAAACATAAAATTGCACTGTTGATCACACCTTACCGAATTCAACACAAATACGGCAATACAGCATTACAAATATGAATTTCTTGTTTTACTTAGGCACTATGGGGGGATAGTATTTTATAAATGATGATTGGAAATATTTTGAATTGCACTTTGAAAAGAAAAAGTGTGTACCACTCTCTGAAAGCATTTTCAGTCTCTGTTTTTTTCTGAGAGCCTTTGGACATTCAGCCTATTAATTTGTTTCTTTCCTAAACACATCTTTATTTATGCAGCAGAAGTATTCCTCTCCTTCAAGGTAAATTCTGTACCGTTTCACACCCCATTCTTTACAGACCTTCATAAATCCATTGTCATTTATTTGACCCCTTAAACTTAGGAGCACATTTTCAATATATAGTGTACAAGAAATTTACTTTTGAATTTATATCCATAATAATTCATACTTAATTTTATTATGGTTAAATGAATTGCATGACATTCACTCTGGTTTTGTGTGTCTAAACAGCTATTTAAGTATGGTTTTTATAGTGAAAACAATTTTGTTAATGGTATAAATCATAGGATAGTATTAGTTTTGAGAAAGAAAGTTATTTTATTTGTGTTAAAGGATGCAATTAAATTTTCAAAAGTAGTGTATTCAAAAATATGTCTCATCTATCCCTTTTTTTATCGGTTTTAGTAGAAATTTGAAAGGTACTCTCCCAGACTGGATAAAACATGGAGGCAGAAGAAGTGAGGTCTCAGAAAAACCCAAGTTTTCACCCTATGTTGGCAACTGTCAATGGCAAAAATAAATTCACATTAATTAAAGCAAGTCACATGCTAAAATTATTTCTTTATTCTTTCAGACCACTCTTCCGTGGAAATTCAGATGTTGATCAGCTAGGGAAAATCTTTGAGTAAGTAATAACTAGTTGCATTATGTCAATATCTGTTTAACATTGAAACACTTTGAGGTTTCTTTGCCATGTTTTTATGGAATAATGTGACTAGAACAAAATATTCCTAGAACATATTTCCTATTGCTACCGTATGCAACATGATATTTCCGTGTATTCTGTGTCAGAGTGGGAGGAGGAAGCAACATGGAATATAGTTCTGCAGAACTAACAGCCATCATCAGGAAGTTATGAGAGACTTCTGTTTCAGGCTTTTTAAATCTCTTAAACATATTATGCATGTCCCATTCATGCATATTCCTACACAGTTAGATCCAAGAGATTCTCTTCGCATATACAAACACAGAGGTTTTATTTTTCAGTAATTTCTTTGTGTATTTCAGAAAAAAAAACATTAGAATACTTTAAAATTGCTATTAAATGCAAATCTCTAAGATGATTACCAACAGCTTCTTTGCAGAAAAGATGTCTGTACGTAAGAAAATATTTAGCTTTTAAAATATACTATGTAGCCTGTTAAAATGATTAACAATCCATATTTTGGCCAGGAAGGTAGCAGAACAGGAGTATCAGTATTTTAACATGTGCTTTGCTGGAGATTATCTAATTGGCATTATTTTAAAACCGTTTTACAATTCTAGGAGTTTGTAGTTTGTATCAAATACGTTGAGGAGGTGGGGAGGCTCTAAACTCTCTGAGGTAGAATAATTCTCTTTCAAAATATGTTCTTAGTTAAAAAATGAAAAATTAAGTTATTAATATTACCATATGATCACTAAGTAGGATTATATCTTTTTTTTCTTGTAAAAACTCTTTGAAGCAAGAAATGCTTCTGAATTCATAAGAACCATGTAAATTTAAGATCTGATGCAAGTATCATGTAGTTAGGAAATCAAAGCCACATAAGGCTGGTCCCACTCCAGAGAACGAATGCCCATTTGCCTCTGCATTTCTGTCTTGCCTTTTGATATGAAGGGGTTGCAAGGATCTAGGGATCAAGATGAAATAAGAGAAAGAGAGAGAGAAAAAAGGCTGAAATATTATTCTCTTGAAGATACTCCTAAGAGAAGATAGTAGAATTTCTAAAGAGAAGAGCTTAAACAGAACAAATAATTAATTTCTCTGTTTAACCATTTTTCCAGTTCTCAAATCATAACAGATCAGTTTCTAAGCATTTTCATTATTTAATATGAGGTTCCTAAATTGCAGGTCTTGATTTGACACAGTTGACTTCCCTTTCCTGCACACCATGCCAGTGTATGTGACTCACTTGCGTGGTTAATTTGTCATGCACTGAATAGTTCTTCCTGCCCAATCCTGAAAAATCAGTCCTTAAAGTTTGCTTTTTCTTCTTCTGCCAAAGCTACTTCTTTAGTCCTATAATATTCTGCTTTACTAAATGAAGACAGTTTTGATACATACAACATGTTTTATAGTTTAAAAAGATATAGCTGTGGTTTTTTTTTAAGGATTTTTATTCATTTATGACATTTAAGGGGAAAAATCAAAATTAACTGGGCTAAGATTAAATGCATAGCTGCTAGCAGCAGCATCCAACAGGGATATTTGCATCCCTAGGGGCCAAGATTACCTGTACAGAAAATAATTCATAGAAGAAGAGAAAATGCCATACTAATTTTATAAGAAATTTGTTATTACACATCTAAAAGTTACTTAAAGTTTGGTTTTGCTTCTTTTGTGCAGTTATCTTTAAATAATTCAAAAGTGTCTTTCTTGTGTTCGGGGGTGGGTTATACTAAATAGCGTTTATTTTGTGTTTTCACAGCTGGAGAACCCCCTATAGTTAGGCATAGCTCTTCTTGTAGGAGGATTGTTTCTTTCTACAGTAGTGACTCATTCTGCAGACTAATTTGGACATAAAATAGTTTCAGGATTTTCATGCAATCTGGACTTATTCATTCTTTCAGATATTGGGGCTGTGGTCTACCTTTGCTTTCATTCTGATTTCATTGCGTTCATTCTGATTTGCATCAGGTAAAATTCCACCACATTTGAGGGTAAATCCCTTGGAGGTGGCCCAAAACAGTTTTCTGCTTTTCAAGGACACCGTCAGCGTGTGGGATATCCTCATAGATTTCAGGCTAAACACTGCAATGGTTTGAGCGGACTCGTCTCCCATTGTGATCCATGGGAGTGGAAAGTACTCAGCATTTCTCAAGACCGGGCCTGAGCCTTTGGCAGGAGGTGAAACTCATCCGAGATACTCCCAAACTTAGTCGCTGAAACGGTAGTGCTACCAGACCAGAGTGAGGGCATCTCCTCAGACTTTCATTATTAAGAGTTTGGAGTACTATGGGACTGTGTAACTAAAAATGTCTGTCCTTCCCACTATTGGTCTTGTCCACCCTACCTGTCTGACAGGCTGCCTCCTTGTTTCTTTTTGCTGGCTTTGCCTGTGCCTGTGCCTATTCTGCCCTGTTCGTGCTCTCTCATGCAAACATTAAAAAAAACATATTTGAATGGCAGGTTAAACTTCATTGTTATTTAAAATACTTAACTCCCCCATCTTCTTACAGTGCTATTTGTATTATATGTAATACAGGTCCAGATCCTCAGACAGCTAATCACATGGCTTTTTTCACTGTAGACAAGGTAGTTGCCCCATACCCCCACCATACCTGTGGTGATAAAAGTCAAATTCAGTTTTTCATACAGATTGAACTTATCATTTCCCAAGAACTGTGGTATCTTCAGATGTAGTAAAATTAAATTGTCTGAGATTTTAATTGCTTTGCCCTTCTAGCTATGCTGTTGTTTTGAGGACATATTAATTTTTGGAGGTATTTTAGGTGAGCCAGATCACAATCTAAAATCCATGTAGGTAGGTGTGGAGTAATTCCACCAAGTTCCCTGAGATAACCTATGATTTACATCAAAGTGTTTGGCCCATGGCCTCACCCAGTCTTACTACCAACCTCAGTAAGAAGAAAGGTCAATGCTGCTCCCTAGTGGCATTGGGCTTAGAGCAGGCCCAAGTATTCAGTGAGGTTTTCTCATGTTCCTTCTTGTCTTATACTGTCAGCATTTCCATTAAAAATCTCGATTTTACAGGCTGTAAAAATTGATTTTCCCTGAAACCTGACAAGTAATGTATGGTCTTTTCCAGAATTTCTATCAGAAACTGGCATTTCAACCCTACAAATATTGACCCCACTGAAACACAAAATGTGTGAGACATGATCCGTCATTAGAAGTTTACCTACTATTTCATTTATTTAGGTTTTGAACCTTAGCGTGATTATTTAATACGTATAAATAGCTTCTAGAATTTAAATAATAAAGGAAAAAATTATAAAAATAAATATTCTATTAAAGGGAAAGAAAAACTAAAATACAATTGAAAGTAAAAACATAGACACTCGAGTCCTATGACACTTCTGAATTGAGACTTTAAACCCTGTATTGTGAAGCAAGTAAATTGTTTAAATTTGGGCAACAATTGCTGCACATAGCTTTGAAGCATTATGAAACATCTCTTTTATTGCCTTACCCTCATCTTGACCCACAGTGTTCTCTTAGTCCCTATTCTTGTGAATAAAGATCCTTGCATGCAATTCCCCTTTGAAACTTACTGCTTTTAATCATCCTGTAGTGACATATGTTGCACCATCCAGTTGAGAGCCGAGCAACTTTCTTCCAAAGCACTCAGCCCTTTTTCAACAAAAAGACTCAGAATATTGAGACCTAGGCCAGAAAATTGTGCTGGCCACAGAATGATTTCTACCAAGCACAGAGGGCCTAGACTCGTCAGCTTCTATTCACAGAGATCAGCGCACTACTATACAGTTAATCTCTTTTAAACAAAAGGACTTATAACTGCCACTGAGTATAATCAATATAAAGGGGAGACTGCATAAATATTCAGACCTAACATTATGTTTTTCCTTTCACAGTGTAATTGGACTCCCAGAAGAAGAGGACTGGCCTAATGATGTTGCCCTTCCAAGAAATGCTTTCACTTCCAGACCTGCACAACCTGTTGAAAAATTTGTACCAGATATTGATGAACTGGGGAAAGATTTGCTTCTTGTGAGTTTCTATTTGTTGTTTTCCAAGCTACATGACTGATAGTTTCCACTGTGCATGCAACATGCCAAGAAACATTTATGTTTCTATTTAATGGAGTTATTAAAGAAAAGCTCAAAAGTAGGTAAACAAATTCATATAAATTTGTGAAACATCAGCATAAAGACACCACCTTTGGCTCAAGAGGTGTCAGAGCTGAGAACAGCTAGAGACTGGGAATCTGTGTTAGGAAAGTACCTGTTTGACCTATCTTTAGACCTTCTAGTTAGATCCTCATTACTGAGCACTGTTGTGCCACTGATTCAGCCATTCTTATAGTATAAGCCTGTCATGAGTACAAAATCTGATCTACCATTTTTTGTGGTATAGTGGACCCAGTATAAAGCAGAAAATGGGCTGTAGAGGCAGATTACATCTGTGTGCCTTCTGTTGAATGCTGAAAACTTGAGATTTGGAATTCACCAATTGTTGCCTCTTATAAATGGCAGGATTGAACAGAAGCAAACAAATTGTGCTGGTACAACTCGTAACTCTGAATTCAATTAAATTATTTCAATCATTTTTGTAGATATGTTATAAATCCCAGCCCTGGAGTTCAGTCTTGGAATGAAATATAGCAAACGGCCTCACCTCAGTTTGTTTTTTACCATGCCTGTTGAAATCTAGCTAAATTTGTTCTCTGGAAGTCTTTAAAAGATGTTGGTTCACATGGGCTCAGTAGAGTGGGCTCAGTACAACTCTTAAAAGACTTTCTGCATCCCTTCAGGAACTGCCATCTCTGGCCAACATTATCTCTACAGAACAGCAGATCATCCTCCATTGTCCTTATGACTGCAGCTCCCAGCTGCAGTAATCTGGACGACATCTGGACACTTTAAATGATAGTGCAGAAACACATCTGTTGTGCTTGCAGGCAGCCTGGAAATAAAAGCTTAGATGTGGGACAAGAATTAGATTCTGGGAACAACAAGGAATAAAATATGGCAGAGACCTTAGTGAGTGTGAGGCATGATGGGAGGAAGAAAGAAGACAAATATCTAGGCCTAGAAGGTGAGGTGGGAAGGGAAGCCATTCCTGTTAGGCAAAGAGACAAGAACTGGGAGCCATAGATGAGAGCGGAGAGTAGGACTGGAAGTGGCTGAATTAAATTTCAGAAGTAAAATGATAGAAATTCTGATACAAGAAAATAAAGTAGAAGTAGGAAATGGTTAGATAAGGATAGTAGGAAGAATACTATTTGGAGGTGTATGAAGGAAAAGAGAAGAATGAGGTATAAAACACAAGGCTATGGGAGATATTTCAGTGCTGGCTGGACAAAAGCTGAGATAAGGATCTGGAAAGAAGGCAAGCAAAGTACAGTTAGGAAGAACAGAGAAACTGAACAGAAAACATTAGTATATAAAGGCTAAAAAGTCAAAGACCCAATGATTACAGAAATGCTGAGCCTAAAAATATACCTTATGATATCATCTTATGTTTGTATAACCACAAAAGAACAGTGCATTGAACACTGAGGGGATTCAGAAGTTGTTCATGAATAGTTGCTCCCTGCGGTCTTTGAGACAGATGTTCTGTGCATGTGAATTCAAAGAAACCCCTAAATTCTGAGATTAATTAAACTATGAATACTTGAATTTTCTAACTTGTTATTTTCTATTAGCTTTGAGGATGCCATATTCAGGTACTGTGACCCCACTGCTTGTTTTAATATGGATGGTTATCTTATCATGCAGCACCTACTGAGACCCTGTTGTGTCTCATACTGATCATAAATTGAAGGTGGCATGCATTAATGTATATATGCAATGTTAGCACTGTTAACTGTATATTTTATTTAAAACAAACTTCTTTTCATACTTGCAGAAATGCTTAGCATTCAATCCAGCCAAGAGAATATCTGCCTATGTTGCTCTCTCTCACCCGTATTTTCATGATCTGGAGAAATGCAAGGAGAACCTGGACTCTCACATGTCATCCAGCCAAACCTCCAGTCAGATGAATGCATCATAATGCTGACTGAAGATGAACCATAAATGAACAAGACGTGTAGCTGACAAGGCCACTGTTCCATACAAATCACATAGCTGTTCTAGCGAAGATCATTATTTGGAGGTTTTATGCACTTATCTTTTATTTTGGGATTGTGATGTGCTTATCCAAGGAAATCAGTCTAGTTTACTTTCATCAGAGCAACACAAGGGCCAGGGCTTTGATCCACTCCCATTGCAGCTTTATGTTTGTTTTGGTTTTGTTTTGTTTATCATCTACCTGGGAAAACTCCAGATGAAGAGAAGCTGCTGACTGGTTTTGCTGCCATTTTATCCTTTTAATATTGGATGCTGCCAGTGTGGAGTAGGATGATCGAGTCTCTGCCAAAACATGATGCAATCTCTCTCTCTAGCTGCTGAAGCATGAATTGGTACTTTTTATCATTATGATGTGATCTCTTACAGTGATATTTAAAGAATGGCATTGAAATATCAGATCTCTGCAGCCTGCAGTGAACTGATACATGCATTAATACATCCAGCTACTGTTCATTCATAGCATATATGCAGGTGCTTCCTCACTTGAAAATTTGGATGGATTATTTTATTATTTCATTGCTCTATAAACATAACAGTGGTGATGGTGATCATAATAAATGTCTCAACATTTAGGTTTTTTCATACACAAACGAGTTCTTACCTAGCTACATTTGTATGCACGTTGCAAAAAAACAAGGGTTTTAAAAAAATTCTAGAGCCCTGTTTTTAAAGACTTTCAGTTTCCAAATGGCCAGTTTGCATTGAGATCCACGCATATTCTAGCCCATCATCTAACCCATCATTCTCCTCTGGAAACAACTGCAAGCACATTTTCTTTATCTCATTCCAAATTTTCTAATATGCAGCTCAAAGACATGAGCAGAACCGATGAAAAACAATACAGGTTTTGCCTTCAACCTGTTCTGGTTGTCTGCCAAAAAGGAAAATGGAAAAAATATTTCCAGTTCAGAAGCAGAGCATTCTATACCTGTAATAAGCACAGATATGTATTTGTGCTAAACTGTATGCTGTATACTGCGTTGCCTTACCTGCAACAACCCCCTATGCATCACAAGTGCATGAACATTACTGTTGCAAAATCCCTCAGATGTCATTCATTAAGCAGACTTGTTTTCTATGCAGAAATGCATGAGCTTCTCTCCTAAACCACCATGTGGGTATACTGGCACGTGCTTCTCCACTAGAGTTAATGTGCCATTATTGAATGTCAAAATAACTAAGCAATTCACATGCCTTTGTAGCACAGTTATTTTAAATATTACATTAAATTTTTATATTTAGTATTTTTACCTTAACTAAAATATATTTTCAGTATTTTTTAAAAAAACTTTTATTTTTTTAATACTGTACTGGGAAAAAAGAAATATTTTAAATCCATTAAACCTGTTCCCTCGCATGACGTTAGTGCATTTACCTGGATATGACCTGGGGGAAAATATTGGTCCAACGAGTTAGCCCTTACCATAAAACCATGAATATACACTATTTCAGTATAATTGATGATAAGTGAGGCAGCTAGCTTTGCTTACTCCTATGATAGTCCCTCAGGCTTCTCTCTTCCTCATCTCTATTTCATCTTGTCTAGCTAGTGAGCCAGCATTATATCCTCATTCACAGCATGCTTGGCAGAAGCAGGTCCTTAGCACTGAGTTGAGCAATATAATTTTCCCAGCTGTGGCACAGGGACTTGTCGTCGTCTCCCTGGCAGGTCTCTCAGTCCTGTGATAGACTGGCTGTTCTGGCAAACTTCACTGTTAGCTCTGTGTCAGGTATCTGCACTGTCAGAGAGATGATCCATTGCTAAGATAGTGAGTGGATCTTATCTGTCTCTTGGATAAAGCTTTTTGTTGCTGTTAGACACATAAGTATGCAACATATGGTTAAATTAGGTCTGTTTTAAATAAGCTAGATTTTAAAAGGATCACTTGCATGCATGCATGCAGTGGCCTGTGCTTTTCTTCATGCCCAGAATGATGCCTATGCAAAACCTACCAGCATGAACAGACAAGTTGCAAATTAGGCCTGGCAAGAGCATGCACAAGGCATCTGCCCACAGAGATACTACAGATGCATAGCTCAAGAATTTTGGAAGCTCTGTGAGCGTCAAGCTGAAAGCCAGGGAGCGGTCATGGCAGCTAACTCTCTAATCTTGGCCTTGCCTCTGTCATTTTCTCTGTTCCTACATCCAAGGGGAAATTGTGAACCCACTGCACTGGTCTTGTCCTAGTCCTGTTCCTCCATGGGTCAGTGGGTCTGAGTGTGAGTAGGTTTTAACATTCATACAAAAGGATGGGCCTGAGTGAAATTTTTGTTAACCATTTTCAGACGTTAATTAGAACAACAAACAGAGCCAAAATTCAGGAGAACCTTGCGACAGTAACAAATAGAAAAGTTTTCTACGCAGTTTAGCACTTTTAAAAACATTCCACATTTTACCTAGTGCCGAGCCAGCGTACGTACTTTATCAGGGCATTCAGCTGGTGTGGCTTTCCAGCAGCTGTCAGGGAGCTCTCCCAGATCTCTCCAGCAACTACCACAGGGTGAATATGTAGGGGAGGAGAGAGTATTTTCAAATTAGGATCAAAACTCTCAGACTGAAATGTGCATCTGTTCCATGCTAGAAGAGCTTGTTGTATCAAGCTTAGCGAAGCAAAGGGTAGAGAGAATATGATTGCTGAATGTACTTCCATTATTAGGATAAAACAAAAAGGAGGAAAGAGAACACTTTAGGCCAATGGTTGGAGTTGGCCCCAAAACTAATGAGAATATGGAAATCATAAGGAAGTTAGCCACTGGAGCAGTATTTCCCAACCAGTAGTATGAGAAGAAGAGTTCAGAGGGCAGCAGAGAAAAGCAGGGTCTGGCTTACGGAATCAGAAGCAGAGCTTCTGCAGCGTCTTGCTGTATGTTGTCTAATATAGGATCAGGTTATGAATGGGGTTATTCAGGAGAACAGCTTGAGAAGGGTTGCATTAATGGTCATGTTCTGGAACATCCTTCCAATGGGAATAGCGGGAACAAAAAAAAAAGAAATCTACGTTTTGTCTTGGCAGGGTGAGGGAAAAGATTTATTTAGTGGGCTCCTTGTGGTAGCAAGGGCCTAGGTTCAAAGGACCAACAACTTTTCAAATGACCTCCTTTTCAAAATCTCTTTAGGAAGAAATTCCGTTTGACATGCCATAGGCTTGCTCTTATTCCAGGCTTCCCTGCCAAACCGTGGGGCTTCACTTACACCGGTAAACTGCAAAAGCCTGTTCTCTGGCTGGGCAAAGTGCTGGCACTGGCTAAAATCATGGCAGGAATCATGCTCATAATTAGACAGTACATACAACTGTGGGACTGTGCTCAAGCCCATGCCCTTGCTCTTTTTATTTTACTGGTATAGTTCTAGTATTTGAGTACCTTTACTCATTAGTGCCTATATGTAGAACGTAGGAATTGTATATATGAAAAAGAAAATGCTCCTTGATGCGGGTGTTTAGACTGTGATGAAAACTCTTCATACATCCTTTAAATAGGACTTCAGCAGAGTGCAATTCCTCTTAGTAATAACTATGCCTATATGTGTTCTACAGGAGCACTTCAACAGCAGCTAAAAACCACTGAATAGCAAAAACACATTAAAAATAAGTATAGATGTTTAGCTCCTAGAGCACCCACAACCAGACACTGTGCTCTTCTCAGCAGAGAACAGGGTGTTCTAAGTAATGGAAGGAGCAATTTCTATGTCCAACCAACCTTTTTATTTTTTTAATCACTACTATGTAATTCTGCAGGAAAAACAGACCTGATAGCCAAGGAAAAAGATCACCAAAGCCAGCTAGTGAAGTGCTAATCGCTGAACCGTAGCAATACATCCAGAGCAGCCCTTTTCTCTCTTCACCCTGTCTCCACGCTCACTCTAGCTTTCCAGTTCTCCTTCAGCTCCCTTATGGAAACAGGTTTCAGTGATACTCACAGGTGCTATTTCCAACAAGATTCTTCCAAATTTTCAATAGCTACACACTGCCAGTGTCCTCTTCATCCCTATTACCAAGTATTGCTTATTTTAGTCCAGCAGCCCAGAACCAATGATTAAAAAAGAATCTCTTTGTGCACCTTCTTGCTTACCCTTATTTTTGCATAAACATATGTTGCATTCTGTGTGATAAGTAAAATTCTAAAAGTAGGGTTTGTGCATATTTCTGTGTAGGTTGTGTCCACACTCCAGGTTTTTTTCAGCCTATTAGTCCACAATGGTAAATGTTAGAGTACCTTTCTCTGTTGTTTCTGTCCTAAAACACACCAAAAAGTGAGAACGTCATGTTATAAAATATTGAAATTTGGTGCTATGTGTACAGAACCTTTTACAGGAAAGGAATCAGTAAGTTGTAGCATTTGAACATCTTCTGTGGGGGGGGTGGTATCCAGCATCATAACTCTTATGTGGTTTTTACACTCAATGGTTGTTTTGCTGAATAGGAAGAAAATACTGTGCCATGCTACTTTTCACAGGTTCACTCGTTGTCTTTGAGAAGCAAGTTTTATTATACATATGACTCTCTTTGCTGTTAGGTATTAGGCTAACTTTAGTATGGAAAATAAAGAGAAAACATGCTGTTTTGTTCTTTTAGCCAACAAACTTGGAGCACTTATCTGACTCACAGCTGAAAACACATCAGTTGTCAAATATGTATATGAATCATACATAAACCACACAGTTTGGTTTAAAATGCCACATAAATTAATTATGTTCCATGTATAAGACACCGCTGAATAATGATGAAGTTTATTCTAAGAACTCTGTTTTGTAGAACCACTTTGCTAGTATTTTTCTTACGTAGTAGATTCAGGAATAGATTGATTTTTATATACAATGTGAATTAGAAGATACTAGGCTATTAGAGTGATTTTGTTGTGTTATGCTTGAAGCTTGAATTGATCACAAGCTTAGGAACCTAACATATTTATTTTATTGCTACCAAACTGCTTTGATAAATACCAAGATCTTTTTTTATGTTAACAGGATTTCACACTTCTCTTAATGTATAAATGATTTTCTTGAAATTAGTATATTAGAAAAAAAGTTCTTCCAAACTGCAGTTGTGTAGAAAAATTTAAGAAATATATTTTTACTTTCACAGAGAATAATAACATGTTATATACTGAAATATTCAGTAACTGACTGTTTGCTAATAAGCTATCACTTTTTCTTCTTTTTGGTTACTAAGTATTGGAGTATAGAGATTAATTTCCATGAAGAAAAAATTCAGAAACAATCTCTGGAAGAGTAAATGGGATTTTAGGAGTTTAACTTTCCAAGTTTCATTTTCATACCCATTTTTTTGCGCAAGTACAGTTCAGATGTGGAAAAACATGACTACAGTTTTAACAGTCTAACAGGCTGTACAGCTCAAATAGGAGTTTTACTTGTGAGGTATTTATTTTATTATATCTCTTTGTTTTGCAAATAGTTAGATAATGGCTGTCATATAATTCTAGTTTCTGGACCAGACTCTGTAACCATCAAGTTCCAGTAATTTATGTAAAATGATAAGAAGCTTTCTCATTGATTTAAATGAACGAGGCCATTAAAGTAAGAAAGATGTGGACATATGAACTGACAATATGCTTTTGACAAGTATTATTTCTTCCCTTTAGTTTGAAGCTTAGCAAGTATTGCATACTGGTATGCAATATATACACAGTATAAGAACCATAAACACCACTTAGGAGTAGTGTGCACAGATAATACAAAAAATGGCTCATTAGGTTCTTGCAGAAACCACCTAAAATCATTCTTTTAGCTGTAACACTCAAAATTTTGAAACTGACATTTTTCCATTTAAAAAAAAAAAAAAACTGAAAAATTATGTAGATGTTTTTAATTCAGACAGTGATAGGCACCCAAACAGAACTGAATCAAAATAGGAACTTGTTCTCAGAAATAATTCTGCAAGGCCAGATAGATGCTGTCAGTTCTTTATTTGTTCAGTGGAAGCTGATAGTAGCCAGCACCATGTTTAAATGAGCCTTTTGCTTTCTGGGCAGAAAATCCCTAGGTTGCTGTGAGTAAAGTTAGTGGAAAATTTGCTTCGACTTAAAGAAAGTCCTTTGAGACCTTCTGCAATATTCAAATTTCCAGCCTTAATTGAAAGACTGCGCAAAACAGCTAAGATAAACCAAAACTCCCTCACCATATGGCATTTTTTCCTTCAGATTAAATGTTTTATCTGTGCTGGAATATATTTGTGAGCTTCATCCAGCCCAATGTCAATGAGACTTTTGCATGGCTAGAGAAAGTAAGAAGAGATTCTGCTATGGATATTTTGATACTGGGTGATGGTGGTAGAGTAGATTTTCTGTTTCCAAAAAAGATCAGACAGAAGATACTGACTTCCTAAAAAAAAAAAAAAAAAAAACAAAAAAACCTGACACTTAATAAAGATTACAAAGGAGATTTTAAGGAACTATTGGGAAAATATTGTTGGGATAAGTGAAAAGGAGCACATTTATAAAGTGAAAAATGTAAATGCAAACAATATGTATTAAATATGCATTGAAATTGGTATTTTTTCACTGATCTTAAGAAGTTGGTAGGGTTTTACAGAAGAAAAGCATCCAAGTATGAATTTATTCTGGCTACCATTTTAATGTTCATTTGCACTAAAGCAACCTATAGTATTTGACTGAAAGAAGGGAAAACAGGCAATGTGTAACTTGTGATTTACTTTGGTGATGTCTACATGGATATGCTGTAAAAGTTACAAGCTCTCTGTCCATTTTTGAGTGAGCTAAATTTGTATCCACACTATTTAGCTTTCTGTACCTTAAACCCATCCACCTGCCAGAAAAAAACACATTTTCTAGTGTTTACATGAAAACTTGCTCTCATTGACATGCTCATGTTAAACTCAGCCAAAGAGCACTGTCTCTGCCACTGAATGGAAAATTAATTTTCACAGGCTGACAGCTTCCTTTGTGCAATTACTCCTAAAGAGTTTGTAATTAACCTTCTACAATATGCAGCCTTTCCTCTTATTCTATGTATCATAAATATGCCATGTCATGCAAATCCTCAGCCCTTTTTTTAAAAAAAAAACAAAAAAACAAAAAAAAAAACAAAAAAAAAAAAAAAACAAAAAAAAAAACAGTTCTTGAATGTTAGGATCAATTTTGAGTAGCTAGGTGAGGGAAGAAAATTGTGAAGTGCTGCAAAGATAGAGAAAATGGGCAGAGATTAGGAGAGTTCAGGACAATTTTAGCAAGTGAACTTGAATATATGAAAAAGTTACGTATAAGTGTAGGGGGAAGACTTTTTTATCCATGTGTTTTGTTTTCTCCTATCATTCACTTTAATAAGCATAAGATGATAAAGCAAGACTTGCACAGGGTTTTAGTTCCAGATACTTATTATACCAACTCAAGTCACGAGTTCCAGTGCAGCTTTTTAACATAGCAACAGCTCTATTTTTTAAATCAGATTTTGCAGAAGCTAGAGGTTTTTCTGTGTAGATATATATAAATAAAAAAAAAAAAAATTGAGACAGCTTGAAATCAGATTAAAGCGGGCACACAGACACTGCCTGTTGTTCAGCTGCAGACATAGAGAATGTACAGCTCTTATGCAGCAGGGTCACTAGCAGTGTCCTTTAGTGTGCAATATTGTTGTGCACTGCAAGCTGACTCCTGCCGCAAACTGAAAATCCTTTGGCAATCCAAAATGGCATGGTTTTGAGCACTTGGATTTTGATAAGATTATCTGCATGTAAGTTTTGCTGGATCAGTCCAGGTGGTTTACCATCTTACCGGAGCAAGCCTGAGAGCCTGGCAAGGCTGTCCAACACCCAGTCTAACACTGCAAAACCATCTGCCATGCAAAAAAACAGTCTTTTTGTAGGTTGTACAGCAGGAATGGAGCTTACTGAGCTGTGCTAACCTGAGAGCTACCATTAACTATTGTTATGCCACCTCCAAAAATATAGAATGTAAGGCCTGTGTAGCATTTTGTTGTGTTTAGACCATGTGTGTGGGTGGCTGGGTAAGTGTTGGCACAAAGCAGCTAGTTTTGGTCCTTCCATTAAGCGTGAGAAACTAGGCTTTCACAGAGACAAATTTCACAGTTCCAGGGATGGGGAACCTCTGTTTTTACACAGTAGTTCTCTGGCATTTGTTAAATACATAATAGATCACCCGGCCACTCAAGCTGTCCTTTCCTTATCCCAGATTATCCTACTGTGACAACTGTGAAAGAAACCCTGAGGAGTCTACTCCTCAACATGTCAACACCCTGCTTCCTTTCACTGCAGTGACACTTAATTACCTGTCACTTGTATCTGACCCTCCTGATACTTCCACAGCTGCTTATAAAGCTGTGAGCTAAATTTCTACCTTGCAATTCTGCAGCCACCCAGTCTGCGGGCAGCCAGTTATTTGTACCATAGCTTTTCCTTGCTTCTCATTAGGAACTGGGAAATACTACAGTACAATAAGGCAAAGTATGTGCTACTTTTACACTCTTTGGTTGAATCAAATAGATGAGCTAAAATAGATTAGATTGAACATAATTTGTTTGATCAGCCAAAGAATTTTCGATTCAGAAGATTTACTAAGTATAGAAGATCCCTGGACAACTGTCTGTGATGTACACGTTTACAAAAGCAGCCAGTGATGCTTCTGTTATACGGAAGTTTTTAATGGATACAAACAAGACTAGCAATGCCAGCCTCCTACTGCTTACCCCTCTTCCCCTTCCCTGAGCTCACTATTCCCAGGGAGAAGTTTCTTTCCAGTATGAGGCAGAGTAACTATGAGACAGTTCCTCCTTATATGAGGATCCCCAGCTCTCAAGATAACTTGGGTGCATGTAGACAGTCTCTTTGCTTTTTGTTATGGCAGTTCTGAGTACAGATCCCTGGCAGAAGTACTAGGCACAGACAGACCTTAACCCCCAATATATCCTCTTGAGGAAAAGTCTTTCCAGGATCTAGAGAGGTCAGTATGCTTACTGTTTCTGTGACAGTTGACTTCTTTGCATTTTAAACAGCAGCATTGTAAGAACTCCCCTAAGAGACCTCTCTCAGTTGACAAAAAGGATGACTGTGAATTCTGGACATGCTGTGGGAAAACACAAAGTGTTTTATTCCCAGTGGATCATGATGTATCTCAAACGATCACCCTTCATTGGTGATAGAATAAAAAAAAAAAACATATATATATATATAGCCCGGGTTTGAAGAGTGCTAGTTCAATAAGAAGTGCTTCTCAATCTTTTTTCAGCAAGAACCAAAATCCATCATGATTTCTTGCATGGATTTTATCTTGGAGTCCCTTGTAACAAAGGTGGCTGTAACCACGGGTTGCAACTACAAGTACATCAGAAATTTGAGGCTGGCAAGAAGTTTGTGGGTGTGAGGCTGTACAAGGTAGCTTATGTAAGCTCCGTGGGGATGTGCTCATCTGAAAGTATTGATTGCCATGCACATTTTGAACTGAAGTTACCTATCATGACATGATAGAAGGACTGCAGTGTCATGAGGTCATGAGATTAGAGCTTGAAGGGACTGCAAAGATTGACCCATCTTTTCATTTTTTTCTCTAGATGTCTAGCAACCCAGTGGTTTCCCAGCTTTGTTTTTATTTGTTTTATTCTACACCCTTTTCCCCCCCATTCTCCTTCCTATTGTGTATAATAATTTGAATAGAAAAGCATTACTCTAGTTTACCAGCTTAAAAGCAGAGAAGGCCAGCACTGTCTAAAACTTTTGATTGCTCTCTGGTGGTCAATATTAAGTGAATCATTTGTCTCTATTTAGATTCCAACAAATAGAATTCAATATCCATGACATCTTCCTTGCATTCAGCACTGTTAAATAACCTTGCTGTTATTCTCCACAGTGTTCAAAATTTCTTTTCCTGGAGACTGAACTCCCCTCCTACAACCCCCTTAGAGTCACAGCAATGTGGGCAAAAGAAGTCTACATCATGGTGGGGCTTTTTGGTAAGGAATGAGAGCCGGTTCAAATTGAAAAAGGGCCTGAAAGAGTCTCATGGGCTCTTTGCCAGGCACCTTTCACAGGCAATGCAGTCACTTCTGTTAAAGCAAAGACCACAAAGTACTTAAGATAGAGAAAATATAAAGATGTCATTTATTTTTCTGATAGAATCTGTCTTCTACTCAAAGCTATATGATTTTGGCACTGAAACCAAGCCCACAGGTACCCATTTATTCTTTCTTTTAAGTCTTTAGTTTCTTCATAAATTCTTTTCATGCATTCAGATTAATGTATTTATGGTCCGTTTCATTCCAATTCATTTAAGTGCTCCGTATCTGCCATTAAATCTTATATGGATTTTATTTTTAATGTAATATTTAGCTGCATTACTTTGAACAGCTTAAAGAGTATAATGTCTTTGAATGCTCTAGTTAAAGAAAAATTATACCCTCAAAATTATGTCTTAGAAGTTGAACTGTTTTTAGAAATTTAGAAATGCTGTTTATAACTCCGGAAAGCATCACAGGGTGCTTTCATCTGTATGTCTGTCTTCTACTTTCTGTGTAACTGTGTATTTGTATTTCCTCACTAGCTTGATACTCTTCAGTCTGAAGGCCCAAGTATGCAAACACGTGAATGCTGTACCTCACCTGAGCAGTCCCACAGAGCTGAGAGGGGTTGCTCATGTGAGTATAGTTGCCCACAAAAAGTATTTGCAGAAGGCGGCTTTCCTTTAGTAATTGACTGTAGTTGTGAGGACACATTGTTAATAACAGCACCAAGACACCAGTAAATGGGGTCAGTGTTTATTGAAGATGTGGACACATTTCTCTGCAATCTATTTGACATTAACCTAAATTATTGCTCTTATAATTCAGTATATTATATTTCTTATGAAAACACACTAGTCCTGTGAAAGGGTAGTTGCCAAAAAAATGTGTCAAGTCTTGCTGCTTTATTGGTTATTTGCATTTAGTATATACTTTGGTTGTTGAAGTGAAGCTAGTTTCATAGAGAGGCAGAAAGCTAGATCAGTCAAAAAAAAAATATAAATAAGCTTCATACTGTACACTGAGTTTTGCAACTAGAGTAATATGTGTGTGCAGATGTAGTATTTTTATGCTTTAGGGTATTTTTGTTTGTTTTAATATGTAAATGAATAAGCAGATTACTTTGAAATGCTATTGTAGAGCTAATTTTACACATAGTGGAGGAATGTTGTCTGAAAAATTAAAATTAGAAAACATTACATAGGCTGCCTTTGGCTTTATTTTGTTTGTAGCAGGTCCAGCAGGTATCTGTTGATTCCAGATGCTTAAGCCAGGGGCCAAGTCTGTGTGGCATCCTGTGACTGAAGCAAGCTTTTAGCAGCGATAAAGTTGCCCGTCTGGGCTTTAAGTAAGATTGTTGGCTGAACAAAAGCATAAAGGCAGCAAATTTAGGTTGGTTGGGCTTGTTGTGGGTTGTTTTTTGGTTTTGTTTTTTTGTTTTTGGTTTTGGTTTTGGTTTTGGTTTTTTTTTTTTTTTTGTGCATGGACAATTGCATGAAATAGGATTTGGGTTTCAAAGTATTTTAAATCATTTAGCATAATTTACTCTTGTTGTAACTCCACCGACTACAGTTAAATTAAACCAAGAATTTGAGCTTGTAAGTCTACAAACTTCAGTGTCAGGCAGCTCAGGTCTATATAAAGATACTTAAGCTTCATAAATCAGCAAGAATACTATATAAATGGTGGTAATATAAAATGTGATAAAAATCTTAACTCTAGTAACATTATTTCTCTCAAAATTTCTCTTCATTACTCTTTCATACAAAAGTTCAGAAGTGCGCTTAGTGGCATTGAGATATATGGAGAAAAGCATGATACTGTTACAGAAATGTATCAGAAATAAGATTCAGTTCTTCCTGCTCCAGACACTCCATGTGTGCCTACCTTCCACTTTACAAATCCCACTGAAGTTAACGGAAAATATGTATCAAGTTAAGCCTGTTTGTAACTCTCACGGGATACTGGTTTCAGAATCTGCAAGATAAGTTACGTTCTCAAAAGGCATTATTAAAACTTGTGGGTTCAGGTTTACAGAATACTATGAACAGTGAGGACAGCTTCTGAGACACATCCAGAGTAACTTCATTAATTGATATTACATCGGACCAACATCCATTAGCAAATCAAAATCTGTCTTGGTACCTTTACTTCTCAGGATGATTTTACAATGAAAAACATTCAGAAAGTTGAAACAGCCTCTAATGTTGTTTGGCTAATTTCTTCTCCTTTTTTCCCATTTTTTGGTAATAAAGTATCATTTGCTCTGGAGGTGTCTGGGATTTGATAATTCAAGGAAAATATGCAAAGAAGTTTCAAATTTTTTTTTTTTTTTCATTCACCTTAGGGCATATACTCGGCTGGTGAAAATCAGCATAGTCCTGTTGACTTCTACAGCATTATATCAGCTTATACTGGTGAAACAGCTGGCATGTCGACTTTTAGCATTTGGAGTCACTTTACCTATGTATGCAGTAGGATTTTATTTTGCAAGGTGGAAAGTTACCTACGGTGCAAACTCTACTACCTAGATACCATTGATGCCTATTCACAGGACATGATTTCACTGTATCACTTCATACTTGAAATTCATGATGTTCTTTTTATCAGGGTACAAACATGAAAAGGTGCGTGTGTTACTGTTTCTTTTAAAGGTGCATCATTTTTTTTATTTTGTGTGCTTAATAGTTACTATTCAGTGTTCTTTACATTCCTTGTGTTCAGCATTAAAATCACCTACGTGTGAAACACAGTATCACCTACAGAGGTACAGAAAAATGTAACAGTGATTTCTTGAATTGTTACTCAAATGTACTGGTTTACCTTTTAGTCATCAACATGACATCAAGGGGCGACAACACGCAAACTGTGGTATATAGAAGTATTGCACCATTGCTGTACATGAAATCTTGCAGCCTCTCTCCTCTTCTTGCACAGCTGCTGATTACCATATACGCATTGGGGAAAAGTATGTTTCTGCTGTACAGAGTGGCTGGGAAATAATGCAGACACTTTGGAAACTCTAGAGCTCCCTTTGCAAGCTCTCAGACAAAGCCCTTTGATCTAACTGCATGCCTGCTCTGTGTCCCGAATTTCACCCTGTGGGGCTTTCTGCTTTAAGAACACCCTCAGCTGGGGCTACTTTACATTGACTGCATTGAAGTTCATTGGAGCATGCACCTTACCATATAACATATTCTTTAGCTTTTACAAGTTTGTAAAGATGGTCGACTGCAAAAATAATCATGTGTCAATACAGAGAAATTAAATTAAGGCACACAGAAGGTTATCAATATTGTATTATAACAGAATTACAGTCCTTTGGAACTGAACGTTTTGCTGCTGGCAGTGCAAGAAAAGCAAAGCTGTGTATTTATTGTTGGGTGCTGAGGGTGCAGTTTGAAAATCAATATAATAAAAATTTTCACAGTATCAGGTTCTTTTTAGTTGTTCCCAAATTATTGGAAAGTAAAAAGGCAAAAAAAAAAAAAAAAAAATGTATTTAAAACTGCTTTCATGAGGTTTACTTCACTGTTCTAGCTATATTTTTCTTTTGTCTAAAAATGTAAAATGAATACAAATAAGTAAGTATTGGATATTAAATACAGAAAATTAGCAACATTGTTTTCTAGTTTTTATGTTTGCAAGTGTTTTTCTCAATACCCTGGTATTCAAGAAAATCAGCAAACGCACACAACCAGACACAGGAATGTAAGCACATGCACACCCTTTCAAGCACCTTACCATATACCTCTAACTTTATAAAAATCTAATGCCATTTGTCCTAATTTCTCATTTCTGAACTACTTTATTGCTTACCTCAGATAAATTCCATTTAAAAAAAAAAAATCACTTTTTCTTTCAAAGGCATAACATTGTTGGAATTGCTATAAAGACTATATGGTTCAGCACTAGTTTGTCTTTACTGAAATCTTCTTTGTTTTGGTTTAGGCAAATTGTGCTTTAATTCAGCTATAATGGCTCTTAGTCATTCATAAAACACAGTATTCTCCCCAAATGTTACTTGATCCAACTGTTGCACTAATGTGCTTGGTATTTTTGTATTCCTAAAGATTCTCCTGCTTTCATCTTCCATCTTTCAAGAATCTGAGCACAATTTATTGATTGCTTTTTCTTGATTGGCTATAAACATGACTAGCAACATTTCCAGTTATATAGAAATAGTAAAAGTGTGTTTTAATTCAAACATGAAATAACACTTCAAACTCTAAAACCAGATGCATATTTTCTGTCTTCACTCCTAAACAATCAAAAAAGCCTCATCAAAACAACTCAAATGAAGCTTCAGCTCATTAAGTGCTCTGTAGAGCAGGATACAAGTAGTTTCTAATAACAAGGCCTTCAATGAGCCACCAAACATAGGAGTCTAAAAACTACTAGCTCAAGCATCCAGATTTCAGCTTCTGGATGAAAGCTCTAAACAGAAATGTCTGCAAAGCTAACCAGACCCCAAAGCCACAAAGGATTTTATAACTTAGAACCAAAACTTTGTGTTGCTCTGAGAAATTATAAGGAATCATGAAAGTCCTTCACAAAACATAGTTATATACACTTCAGGTGCAACACAGCATTAAATAAAAATAGCAGCTACCTTTACATTATGTGACATTCCAAATTAGTCTTTAAGCACATTATATGATTACGAGCAGCAGTCCAGGCAGGGACAGACACAAAATCAACTGCAGTGAGGCCTGTAGCTGAGCAGAACAGACAGCATTGTAAATACCCATGTTAGCCATAGCTAATGCATCATGAAAAGGGGAAAAAAAAATGATGGAAATATTTAACAGTTTAAATAAGAGCTACCATACAGATCCAGATACTGCCCAGTGCTTTTATCTCTGATGGTGCTCTGGGCAAGATACCATAGAATAAAATTCAACAGGCTGTGGACAACTATGGAACAAATTCTTCATATGGGAATTTTCTTCCTAATCTTCAGCTGTGAGAAGGTGACTTACCCCCTGCATGAGGGTCATAAAACCCAGTTATGGAAGAGAAAATTATATTACAAAAAAAAAAAAAAAAAAGTCAATTAAGTAAAATACCTTGTAGAAGTGAGCACAACTGTTACTCTTCTCATTATTCACATAAATGTTCTCATCCTCTTCGCCTCAAAATTATCTAATGACACTAGCTGTCACATGCTTATTAGCACCATAGAAACAAATGTTCATTTTAAATTATTTAAATGTGTTGTCTTTATCTATCATTTGCCTGCCATTTACTGACACACGGAAAGCAAGATGTACAGTATCTGTACCATTCCTCATTTTACAGCCATCAGTTGTGTTGGGTTGTTTTTCCCCTCCTTCAATAAACAAGGTCATCTTTCAGTTTCCTGACACACAAAAGTCCTTTCTCTGAGTATTTCCATCCATTTTTAGAAATCTGATTTAACTGGCTGAATTGTCTGGCTGGACTCCCAAGCCTCCTTCACAGCCAGGGAAGAAAAGCTAATGGGAGTCTAATTAAAATACTCCGGAGTGTGCAGTGGAGGACTCCCTCCTCCCCACTGCCTGCACCGGGAGGGAGGGACCCCACGCCCCTGGCCTCCTGAGATGGCAAGTCTTCATATTTCCAGGCACCAGCTCAAAGCTTCACGGAGATAAAGCACAGGATGAATAAACTCTCCTGGTTCAAACTGGGTCAAAACATTTCTGACGAGTAATTCTGTTCTGGCAGACTTGACACAGCTTAGGTACCACCTACGCTGCTGCAGCTGGGCTGCAGCACATGCAGACCTGCCGTCCTACCACGGTGTCAGCCCAGGGATGGACAGACAGCCGTGCTCCCACACCGGGGGCCACCTTTGTGCCGCCAAGGGCTGAAGCAGCGCTGGGGACAGCCTGCACGGGCGCAGGGCGGTGGCATTAGTCACCTAAACCTGGATTGCGCAGGTGTGCTCCACAATGGCCCAAATCTGAGAATGTGTTCAGGGCAAGGACATCACCATGCAACACAAAAAGGGATCATAATCTATTTAGTAATACTCCTTATTTTGCATGTATATGTATTTTAATGCAGTTTGTTTCTTCTGTCTTCGATGTACCTCTCCAGCATCACAGGCAGCTCAGTCAGAACTTCTGCCTGATGTGTTTCCAAAGAAGCCATCCTTGTTTCAGAACATACCAACCATTTTCTGAGGAATTAAAGTTAGCCATTCCCTTATGCACTATCTTGCAATTTTCAACAGTAAATTTTATTTACAATTGAGCAAATTTTACTTGCAATTCTCATTTAGTGACCTTCTTAGTTTACATCTAGTTCCTCACAGCCTCCTCTTGGTTTTACTAAGTAATTTGGTATCACAAATTCCCATAGGCTCACCAATTTTTCCAACTATTCCCAAATACGATGGACACAGCAATGCTATTTCAGAAACAAAACTTATTTGTGTTTTGTATGACTCACATGTTAACATGTGATTACTTTTCTTCATTTTTACAAAGCTGTAACTAACAAGCAGTAATTATTAAAGGTAACACTTTAGGAAAAGGACATTTGGAATTCTAAATTAGTAGATCCTGGTAATGGCCAGGCTTCTCTTCGTGTTTCCATTAACCTAATGAAGTATTAACCTTGTCAGTATTACCATGTTCCTTATTTTGCAGTGCAGATAGTTAACAAGTGATGAATAAGCACTTTTTTTTTTTTTTTAAACCTCTTTCAAATAGAGCCCCATTTCACTGAGTGCCAGGACAGGCTGCTATTCCATGATACCATAGTCTATGCATCTACTGAAGGATGAGGAGGAGAAGGAACACTTGCAGTTCCACCTGTAACTGACCACTAGATAGATCAAGAGGAGGAAAACCCCTCGTAATTAAATTCTGTCCTCTCCCGGGATGTTTATTCCAGATGGGCGCCCCGGGCCCTGCACCCCAGGATACGAGTGAACCTTTACATTTCTCTCCCCTCAGCGTTGCCCTCCGCTCCCCCTCACGAAGACCGGCGCAGCGGCCCCTTCCCGCCGGCAGGCCGGGGCGCTGCCGCTGCCGGGTGCCTGCCAATGCCACCACCCGAACCGACGCCCTGCATTAGAGCTCCCCCGGCTTTCATCGCCCCTTCCCGCCTTGCGCCTCCGCCACCGGGCCGAGGGCGCGGAGCGGAGCTGAGGCGGGGCGCGGGGCTGAGGCGGGGCGCTAACGGCCGCCACCCGCCGGCCGCCAGGGGCCGCGCTGGCGCCGCGGGCCCGGCAGGCGGCGCTGCGCGGCCGCCGCCATCGCCGCTTCCGGCAGCTCGGCGGCGGCTCGGGGCCGAGGAGGGCCCAGGCGCCTGCGGCGCGGCTTCCCGCGAGCGGGGAAAGGGCCCTGCGCTGGGCCGAGGCGGCGCCATGGGGAAGCGGGACAACAGGGTGGTGAGTAATCGGGTGGAGAGCCCGGGCGGAGAAGCAACAGCGGGGCCCAGGCCGGCGCGGCGGCCGCCGCCGCTGGGATCCGCCACGGCCGCGGCGGCACCTCTGGGCGGGCCTCGGCGGGGACGCACCGCTGCGGCGGCCTAGGCGGGCCTCGGCGGCCCCCTCCGCGCTCGGGCCTCCGTGGGGCGGGGGGCCGGAGGGGTGGCCGCCCCGAAGCGGGGGGAGAAGGGCCCCGCGCCGCCGCGGGCGGGAGGCACGGCGGGCCGGCTGGTTACGCGCCGTCGGGGCTGGGCGGCCGGCCGGCTGACCTCGGGGCCCCGGGCTGCCAGGCAACAAAGGCGGGCCGTGCCCCGCGGACCCGCCCGGCCGGGGTGGGCACCTCGGGGGAACGGGGCCGTGGGCTGCCGGCGGTCCCGCGTGGGGTGTCCCTCGGCGTGGGCAGGCACGTGCCCGCGGCGCCCTGGCAGAACCCCCGGTTGCCTTGTCAAACCCGGCAGCAGTCGTGACTGATGCCTGCCTCGCGATCTGCGAAGTGAAGATGATTAACATGCTGGCCTGGTCCTTACAAAAATAAAGTGTTCCCGGTGGGAGTTGAAGCGTTCGCTGGAGTACCTCTGATTGTCACTAAGCCGTATTTCCTTAAACTTGGCGTTCAGCTGTAACTGAGCAATTTGAAATTTAGCTATATGCAGTGCTCTGCAAACCTCTGGGGACAGCGGTCAGAAGGCCAACAATGCAATTCTACACACCTGATTGCATAGCCTAATTTTATACTGCTACCATGTTTATCCCTCCTCGTATTTTTCTTTAAACTTTTTTTGTACAAGTTAGCCATTCACCTTATACTCATATTTCATTTAGGCATTATAAATTTGCAATTAATGAGTTTTATGATTAAAAAGAAGTCACAATACTTCCCCTCCCACACTTCTTTGTCTCTTTCTAATATGTGGTATGAGTTCATACTCAGATCCATTCAGGGAGATGTCTTTGCTTACCTTAGTGGAATAATATGTAACAGACGTGATGGATATATATTTTATACAAATGG